TGCTATCACGCCATGGTCACATTTATCGAAAGCCTTTGCGAAGTCCGTGTATATCACATCAGCATCTGATTTCTTCTAATGCCTCAGTGACTTTGTCGTAGTGCTCAAGTAGCTGTGAGAGGCACGATCTTCCCGCTCGAAATCCATGTTGGCCGGGTTGTGAAGGTCATTGGTCTCCATGAAATTGGTGACCTGACTCCTAATCACACTCTCAAATACTTTTATGATGTGCGATGTTAGTGCAACTGGTCTATAATTCTTTGTCAATGCTTTGCTCCCTCCCTTGTGTAGAGGGGCTATGTCTGCTACTTTAAGTGCATCTGGTATCTCCCCCGTGTCCAAGCTCTTCCTCCACACTATACTGAGTGCCTGTGCTACCGGCACTTTGCATTTCTTTATAAATATTGAATTCCATGAGTCTGGACCTGGGGCGAGTGCATGGGCATGTTTTCAATTTCTCTTTCAAAATTTAGTGCGCTCGTGTTTATATCAGTTATATTACAGGGGTTTGAATATCCCGCATAAAGAAATTGTCTGGATCTTCCACCTTCATGTTGTTCATGGAGGCCTGAGTGATGGCTGCATCCCGCTGTCCTGCTCCAAACATGCCCTCGCCATGTTGACCAAACCACACACTGGAAGGTGAAGGGACGACGACGTTTAGGTCCGTCCTGGACCATTCTTATAGGCACAATCGACTTGAGAATGGTCCAGGATGGACCGAAACGTCGTCGTCCCTTCACCTTCTGGTGTGTGGTTTGGTCAACATAATTTAGCCACGTTATTGTGACTCATCGCCTGCATGTCCTCGCCATCACATTCTATTTCTTCACATCGCCTCCATCTTGTGGTACCCTTCCTCCATCTTGGGTCACCCATTTATCACTCCGCACTACACCAGCAGCTACAGCATCTAAGGCATTGTGGCCAGCAGTAGGCGGTGTGCACAGAGCACCAGGTGGTATACTCCCCCAGGTGGCTCCTTCAGGGGATGGCTGCGGTGAGCACCTAGCAGGAGCCAGGCCCAGCACGTGGAGCAGACGGCGGGGGTATGGCTAATTAATTTATAAGCAGGCAATCTGTTAATTAGGCAGGTGAAGCACCCGCTCATAGCGTATGCTGCCGACAAACACTCCCGGCCCAAGACCACACTACCCAAAAAATGGTGACCCTTCCCTTCCTCCCTCCCTCCCCTCTCCCACCCAACCAAACCCACACATCCACCATCGTGTCCGCCCACGCCACCCAATAATAGTGCCCATTACCCATTCAAAAATAGTGCTCCCTCTCACGCAAACCCACCAACTAACCCCCCCCCCTCCCCACACCAGCCAAAAATGGTGCCCCCTTCCAGCATTATACTAGAGTAAAGGAGTAAAAGTTTGGCCGATTCTGTATTTGTGCTCTGGTCCGTGTGGCGACTAAGATGATCATCTACAACACGAGAGCTTGACCTGATCTCTTGTATGGAGAGTGACGTGAAGTATGAGGCACTAAGCCTCTGCTTGGCCAACTGTGTATGTTCATTACTGTCTTACTAAGGCGGTGGACGGTGTTTATGACTCGTATGCTGACTTCAGTAATGTGTTTACAAACAACTTATGTATTGTTAAATATCAATAGTAATCTTGTTTGGTTGGTAACTCTGCACTTGGGTATTCCTGTGGACTGTTTGGTATTTCACAACATTCCAGACATTACCTCCTGATAGAACTTCTAGAACCTTCTAGATTAATTCTTCTAGAACCTGATAGATTAATCTTCTAGTACCTTCTAGAAGTCTATTCCCCCCTGCACGAGGGTATCCAAACCTGATCTGGTGTAGGTGTACTCTTGTTCTTGTATTGTTCCCTTTCATCAAAATTATTAGTGGAATGCCGTCACCATTGTGCGTGAGCCTGATGTTGGAGGATCTGCATTACTGTCACTGTGCATCTTCTACACTGGTCAAGTTCTAATTATTTCCTTCATCTTAGCTGGTCTGAGGTATGTAAATGTCATCCCATCCTCCGAACTGACAGTACGGTTTAATACTAAGTGTAATAAGTACATGTCCTTACTGTCATACATAGTACATAATTGCACTTATGGGGCTGTTACATTTACCTCCCCCCCATTTATTCTCCTCGTTTTCTGTTAAGACACTCAGAATTTTAATATGAAGTTCTCAAGTTCAATTCGCTATACACAAGTTTTTTCTTTTTAAGTTTTATTAAACAGTAGATATTTTATACAAAATATGAAAATATCCGGAGTTACTTTACAATTTATTGATATATTTTAGTTTTGTTTTATTAGTTTTATAAAACTGTAATATTAATATAGCTATAGGTTATGTAGTAATTGTAATTAAGAAGCAATAAAATGCTTATCTTCAAACACTAAGAAGGTTACGTTACGTCGTGGTTTTCTACTCAGCTTTTCAGGTAAACTTAAATATTCACAATATATTTGACACTACGGTTTAATATCAAGTGAAAAAAGTACAATTCCTGACTGCTATGAATAGTATATAATTGCACTTATTTATGCTGTTACATTTACCTGCTCATTTTTGAAGGACGTACTGGTAAATGTCTACAGTCCTCCTTACCTGCCTCCTTGTGGCTACCTTGTGCTAGTTCCAAGGATAAACGTCTCCATGCTAAATAAATAAACGATAAGCGTTTATCCCCCGGGGGGGGAATAAACTTGGCCCCCCCTCGTTGATCGCCTTGTCAACGAGGCTGTTGGACACGGCTGCACACAGCCTGACGTATGAATCAGATCCTAGTTGATCAAGTATCATTTGGAGGTATTTATCGAGTTCTCTTGAACACCGTGAAAGGCTGGTCCAGTATTGTCCCATATGTGTAGCGGGAGTGTGTTGAAAAGTCTTGAGCCTTTGCTGTTGATAGAGATCTCCCTCCCCCGCGTACTTATCGCACCTTTGCATTTCAAAGGGGATATTTTGCACATCCTGCCATGCCTATTAGTTTCATGTGATGTAATATTCGTGTTCAGATTTGGAACCAGTCTCTCTAATATTTTCCACATGTAGATAATTATGTATCTCTCTCGTCTGCGCTCTAGAGAATACAGATTTATAACTTTTAATTGGTCCCAATAATTTAGAAGTTTTATAGAATGGATACTAGCAAAAACGGATCTTTGCACATACCCCAGGTCAACAATTTATCCGGCTTTGAATGGGGCTGTTAGTGTGCAACAATATTCAACCCTAGAGAGCGCTAGTGTCTTGAAAAGTACTGTTCATCTAGAGTATTGTGGTGGTGGAGGGTAGTAGTGGTGGTAAGGGTGGTAGGGGTAGTGGTGGTGGTGAGAGGTGGGTGGTGGTGAGGGGTGATGTTGGTTGTGGTGTGGGGGAAGTGGTGGTGGTGGTTGGGGGTGGTGGGGGTAGTGGAGGGAAATGGTGCTTGGAGGGTAGTGGTGGTGGTTGGTGGTGGTGTATTGGTGTGGCGGCGGCGGAGGCGAGGCTGTCAAAAGTAAACACCATTAGCAATATTGTGTTTATTCATTCAAAATGCCAGCTGGGGTGGGCCAGCTATGAGCAATGTTCACATGTGTAAGTCAGCTCGCCCCCCCCCATCCTCCCCCCCCCTCACCTCGACCCCCCCCCCATCCTCCCCCCCTCACCTCGCCCCTCCCTACCTGTCCACACAGACAACACCAGCAACACGGGTTTACAGCAGGACGCGGCTCCTTCACCATCAGGATCACACGTCCATGACAACCAAACTCGCAAAATACGTCGCATTGTTTCACAAAATCGACCAATCCGTTAAAATGCGACGTATTAGTACAACTGAAAGCACCGTATTACTGACGTGTTCTATGCATCGGTCTCAACATGTTGGGTGGGTTGCTTGGGTTCGTAAGTTTCTCTTTAGGCAAAATGTTGTATCCGTTACGTTTGTGTTACCGCAGAAGCGTCGCATTTTATACGTTGTGGCCAACTGCGAGACCGGGCCGCCCCATACAATAATACAAGACACCAAAGTAACAAAAATCAAAGTCCTCTCGAGAAATATTACCAATAAAATACAAATTGTGCTCAAAATAAAACTTCATGAAGGCATACAAAGGATGTCCGATAAACGGGAGTGTGGCGGCCTACATAACGAGTGTGAGAGCGGGAGAAGTAACAGTTTGGTTGATCACTGATACTCTTAAGGCCAGATCACAGTCGGTGATGATGCTGGGGCAATGACATCCACAACCACCCCCCCCCTCTACCATCATACAAGTACCCCCCCCCCTCTTCCTATCACACACCTCCCTCCCCCCCTTCTCTCAATCATACACCTCCCCCACCCTCATTATATACCTACCCCCTCCCCCCATTATACACCGCCCCTTCTCTCCCTTCAAGAGTACACCTTCACCCCTCCCTCCAACATACACCTCCCCAATCCTTCCTACATCATATACCTTTGACCCCCCCCCATCAGACACTTAACCCCATCCCATATCCATACCCCTAAGCCCCATCACATGCCCCCCCTCCCCTTCTATGTGGCGTGCACGGTTAATTCTGTAATGGATCGCCTTTCTCCAACCTCTTAGTTTAAGTTGTCCAAAGAAAATACATTTTGAAGTGTGTCAACATGTTTTTGGTGTACAGGTGGGGAGGGGGGGGCGGGGGTGGGGTGGCAGGGAGGGGGTGGGGTGGCAGGGAGGGGAGGGGTGGCAGGGAGGGGAGGGGTGGAAGGGAGGAGAGGGTATGGGTGGCAGGGAGGGGGTGGGGTGGCAGGGAGGGGAGGGGTGGGGTGGGGGTCGGGTGGAAGGGAGAGGAGGGGGTGGCAGGGAGGGGTGTGGTGTGGTGGGGTGGCAGGGAGGGGAGGGGTTTGGTGGGGTGGCAGGGAGGAGAGGGGTGGCAAGGAGGAGAGGGGTGGCAAGGAGGAGAGGGGTGGCAGGGAGGGGAGGGGAGGGGTGGCAGGGAGGGGAGGGGAGGGGTGGCAGGGAGGGGAGAGGAGGGGAGGGGTGGCAGGGAGGGGAGGAGAGGGGAGAGGAGGGGAGGGGTGGCAGGGAGAGGACTTGCTCGCCAAGTACAAGGAGCCTCCCTCCCCTGTGACCCCCACATAGTGGGTCACGGGTCACTACTACTGAGGATACAATTCTCAAGAGGCAGCGTCGGCGACTCTCGCGAGACACGCACCCCGCCGCCTGCTTTGTTTACTCGACGCTCATTGGCTCCAACAGAACGTGGCCGGCCAATCACCGCACAACCTCGCCCGCGCTAACTTGACACCACAGCCCATACCGTGCACGTCAGTCTGCCTCTCACTTCCGCAGGGTTTGGTTGTGTCGAGTCTCGTTCCCTCGAGCCCCTTGTACATGCTCAGAGAAGCACTAAGCATACGAGTGTATATTTTTCATCAAAATCATGACAAAATTCTACACATGGGCGTACTATACACTACACTAGCAAGTGTGACGGGCGTGTGTACGGCAGCCGAGCACGTGGGCCTCTACCGTGGGGCTCGTGCCAACCATTAGTGGCCCTTCTTAACCAATCAGGACCTACTGTCGACCAATAGGTCCCAAGCAATAAGGGGGCCCGTGCCAACAGGTGCCAAGCATTAAGGGGCCCGTGCCAAGCATTAATTAAGGGGACCGTGCCAACAGGTGCCAAGCATTAAGAGGGACCGTGCCAACAGGTGCCAAGCATTAAGGGGCCCGTGCCAACAAGTGCCAAGCATTAAGGGGCCCGTGCCAACAGGTGCCAAGCATTAAGGGGGCCCGTGCCAACAGGTGCCAAGCATTAAGGGGGCCCGTGCCAACAGGTGCCAAGCATTAAGAGGCCCGTGCCAACAGGTGCCAAGCATTAAGGGGCCCGTGCCAACAGGTGCCAAGCATTAAGGGGCCCGTGCCAACAGGTGCCAAGCATTAAGGGGCCCGTGCCAACAGGTGCCAAGCATTAAGGGGGCCCGTGCCAACAGGTGCCAAGTATTAAGGGGCCCGTGCCAAGCATTAAGGGGACCGTGCCAACAGGTGCCAAGCATTAAGGGGCCCGTGCCAACAGGTGCCAAGCATTAAGGGGCCCGTGCCAACAGGTGCCAAGCATTAAGGGGGCCCGTGCCAACAGGTGCCAAGTATTAAGGGGCCCGTGCCAAGCATTAAGGGGACCGTGCCAACAGGTGCCAAGCATTAAGGGGCCCGTGCCAAGCATTAAGGGGACCGTGCCAACAGGTGCCAAGCATTAAAGGGCCCGTGCCAACAGGTGCCAAGCATTAAGGGGGACCGTGCCAACAGGTGCCAAGCATTAAGGGGCCCGTGCCAACAGGTGCCAAGCATTAAGGGGGACCGTGCCAACAGGTGCCAAGCATTAAGGGGGCCCGTGCCAACAGGTGCCAAGCATTAAGGGGGCCCGTGCCAACAGGTGCCAAGCATTAAGGGGGCCCGTGCCAACAGGTGCCAAGCATTAAGGGGACCGTGCCAACAGGTGCCAAGCATTAAGGGGCCCGTGCCAACAGGTGCCAAGCATTAAGGGGGCCCGTGCCAACAGGTCCCAACCAATTAGGGGCCTCGTGCCAACAGGTGCCAACCAATAAGGAACACGTGCCAAATGGCCCCACCCAACAAGGGGCCTGTGCTAACTGGCCCAAACCACCAAGTTGCCCCATGCTAACTACTTGGCCCCAACCAAGAAGGGGCCCACATTAAGAGCCTCTCCAAGAACCGGCTCATCACACCAAAGGAACTTCACCAAGAAGCCTAATACACAAAATTACAAAAGGGGGATTATCTAACTCAACTAGTCCCTACAAGAAGGGGCCTATCAAAACGTCCCCCGTGCTGCAGTATGAGTGAGACTCGCAGTGGTAGTGGACCGACGAGGCCACCTCCCCCACTCTGCCCCCTGCTGCCGGAAGATGAGGACTACGACGCCTGGGTACTGGCCGGGGGCAGACTCTTCCGTGCCCACACTTCTGTCCTCTCCTCCCATAGTGTCTACCTACGGGGGGCAGCTGCTGGCAGCAGTAGCACGAGCACCAGTGATAGGGACGTGAGGCTTCTACTGCCTCATGTTCCTCCTGCTGGCTTTGCCGCCATCCTCACCTACATGTACACAGGAAGGCTGCCACTCACCCCCTCCACGCTTTATGAGGCAAGTTTTCTGGCTCTTCATAAAATTAAACTTCATTTCAGTCCCTCCCATGCTCATGAGACCAATGTTCCCATCTTCCCACAGTCATTCCAAAACCTGATGGCTTCTCTTCCTCAGTACATGAGAAGAACATAAGAATAAAGGTAACTGCAGAAGGCCTATTGGCCCATACGCGGCAGCTATTTATAACCACCCAATCCAACTAATATACATGTCCAACCCGGGTTTGAAACAATCAAGGGACCCCACCTCCACCACGTTACATGGTAATTGGCTCCACAAAACAACCCTGTTACTGAACCAGTATTTACCCAGATCTTTCCTAAATCTAAACTTATCCAATTTATACCCATTGTTTCGTGTTCTGTCCTGTGTTGATACTTTTAATACCCTATTAATATCCCCTCTGTTATGCCCCTTCATCCACTTATACACCTCTATCATGTCACCCCCTACCCCTGCACTCTCCTTCCCCCCCTCCCCCCCTCCCACATATGAAATACCTACCTTCATACTCTATGTGCATGTGCAGAATATGTTACAATAATGTAGCTGTAACAAATAATTCAACCCCAACACACAAAATAAAAGTGACAACATTTGATCCATCCTCGACCCTTCTAAGGGTCCAGGATGGACCAAAACATAACTAACATGCATGCTATGTGCAAATATTTCCTTGCTAAAAACATTTGTCATCCACAATGTATATACACCCTACCCTTTCCATCATATATCCAGTACACACACCAGTAATTAAGATGAACGATACATAAAGAACCCAAAATACTTGCAAGCTATTTTGTTACATGGCTCCATTTCCCTTTGTAATTCACTTGACACTGATCACCTTTACAGTAGTCATAGCCCCAACCAAGTGTTTCTATTAGAGTCCTCTGACACACAAGAGGCTGTTTATTGGTGGTCACTCGATGATAACTTTTGCTCTAATACATGGTGTTGTACCCATGCAGGTGTTGCTAGCAGGACACCTCCTCCAAATGGCTGGCGTGGTGTCGCTGTGCCAGGCACTCCTCTCCACAACAACTAGTGCTGCTACAACTGGCACTTCCCTGGGCCTGTGTGAGGTGCCCCCGGCTCTCAGTGTATGGCGAGGCCTGGCCAGACTTGTTCCTCCCCACCAACATGCCACATCCACAAATTCCTCTTTGCCAGCCACTATTGTCAGACCCACACCCACCAGGCCCCGATTGCAACACCACCCGCTTAACCATTCGCAAGGTACTTATATTTAACCCTCCCTACAGCACCAGTAGTGTTTACTCTTATATAATGTTCACAAATTTTTCAAATTCTACCATTTTTGTACCTTAGCACCAACACCATTTTTTCCAAATCTTAAACATTCTTATTTTGAACTTGTACTGTACAGCCAGGCCTCTCACAACAGACAATCTTAAATGTCAAAATTATTTTATGCTACCCACACTAATAGAGACAAACTTAATTTCACTAGAAATGTGAAAAGATTTAAACGGGAACATTTATGCGGTGTGTTACTTCAACGGATCTCACAGTATGTTCCTGGTACAGGCTTGGTGCGAGACTCTGAGGCATTGGAGGAGACTACTGGTGCACCTGTTGGTGATGAGAGAAGCCTCCCACAACACACTGATGAAAACACAGCTCCAGAGAGCATCCCACATTACAGGCACAAAGTCAGTGTAGATGACAGTGGACGGGTCAATGCAGGAGCAGTGGTCATTGATGTGGCAGCATGTGATGGACCAGTGTTTTTTGAGCGTGTTATTAACAGATCATACAGAGCCAACGTGAGTGAGTTAAAAGTGCACCTTTATAAAATTGGGATTATGGGGATAGTTACAGATAAAATGTTTTACTAAATATTCCTTTTCATTAAGAATTCACCATCTCCACAGCCTCTACTCGGCCACGACGACTCGGAAACAGAGACCGAGATAAATGTGGACGACATAGACTCCTGTGACGATGCAATTGGTCAACCACACCTGAGAGACCTGCCAGAATCTTCTGGTAATACTGAAAGAGATGGACTATCTAACCTGCTAAGACTGCAAGCTGTGAGAGAGACACAACAAAATGCCCTGGCTGCTTCTCCACCAATGCCAAGCAACCACATCAGTCGCACCTACCACTGCGTCTACTGCAATCACACCTTCAAGAGCCACTACTGCTATCAGGTAGGGATCGTCACACATTACAAACAAATGCACATTTGCTTTTCACAATATAAAATAGCAGATATAAAGAAAAAGTAAAGGTACAAAGAAAAATGGATATTTAAAGAAAATATTTAGGCTAAAATGGGATAGACCCTGCCGCCTTGGTCTTCCTGGGCACATGCATGGGTGCAGGTTTGATAGCACTTTACGACCTCAATATTTTTTCAGATACATCCCGTTCTTGTGATCATTTGTGCCTGGATATCTAGCATTTTCCTAATGCAATACATTTACACATTACTGTATTAAACAAGGGATCTTTGATTTTATAAATCTTGAGCATTAAGGGATTTAAAATATAATACTCATATTGTATAATTTCATAATATGCATTAAATAGCCAGTTAACATTCCAGAAACACATGCGCCGCCACATCAACCCGATTACTGTTGAGGTTGACAAGATGCGTGGAACAAGTATCGAGGTCGATAAACCGCGTGGCTCAGGTGTCTCTTCTTCTGGGGTCACAGATGGCCCACAAGATGGAGGAAGTCACTCTGAAGGGCAAGAGCGAGCAGGGGAGAGCAACAGCAATTCTGGAGCCAATGGTGTTATTGCCAACGGGAGCATTAAGAGTGGCAGTGTTTCTCCTAACAGCAGCAGGAATCTTTCTCCTGCGCCATCAGAAGGACTCAAGATCCTCGACCTTAATGTCCAGTATTTTCCTTGCAAGACGTGTGGTTCAAAGTTTCCCAGTTATTATTTTGTTCACAAACACCGTCGACTGTGCCACCAGGATGAGGAGAGTGCCACTTTTACTAAGAAGACTGCAAACCAGACTCCCTCCACCAGCACCTCTTCAACCCCCACTCCAACACCAGTCAATACTCCTGCCTCCACCCCTGCCAACACTCCAATCACCACCACTACAGTTGCATAAAATTGCTAATGTTAGCATTAATGTGTTCAACTATTTTATTAACTAAACCCTCTACTTTGTTCCATGGCAATAAGATCAACCCTAATCAAATTTATACCATATAAACTTAGAAAATGCACTGTAAGGTCCTCATAAGTTGTGAGGACCATAGATATGTTAATATACCTTTAGTTGATTATTCTGTACCAAAACATCTAGAGGGTCCACATGACTTTAACCTAATTGTATATACAGTACCAGGTATGGGGAACCTCAAGTCGGCAAATATTTTATAACCAGCACATTGTAATTTTTTATCAATATTCTTCAGAGCCACTTTAATTCAAATATCAAGTCACAAAATTTCTCTATTAAGAAGTGCTTCAACTTCCTTAATACCCATGAGTGGTACATAATCATATTTATGAGCAAACGCTTAAGAAGCTAATATGGCTGAGGTAACCCCCTGCTTGAATGACAACCTTCTACATACCTTATATAAAAATTATGTTATGTAATAGATTCAGAATAAAATATATCATAAGCTTCTATAAATTCCATAAGCCAAGAAAATTATTCTAGAGGAGGCTGCAATAACTACTAAAAAATCCACATGGTGGTTTGGTGTCATGGTTTAAATTTTACCACTTAAAATCTACCAACCCCTCTTTAAACAAACCAATGAATCTCACACAAGGGGCAACGACTTCAAGCACAACCCATAAAGTAGGCCAGAAAACGGGAAATACTTTTTTCACGATAGGGTAATAAGTCCATCAACTCGCCTACTCACAGACGCCATAAATAACAAGGCATTCTCCAGTTCAATATTCAAAAAGGAAAATATCCTCAGGAACAATGTGGGAATTTTTAACAAGCCTCTGGCTTCCTGACCCATCGAGGCTACTATGAATGGTGACCCTCAGGTAAATATAAAGTTACACTACACAAATGGCCAGAGTTTACTCTTGATTATTCAGATTCCAGGAGAATTTGAACAAAATCAGTCCAGTCATTTTGCTTCTTAATTACAGTACTGTACTGCATATATGGGTGTCCCGATAATATGACTTGCTAATTCAAATATGTGGGTGATAAATTATAAATGTGTTTGTTATGCAGAATTTCCAACCTAACTTTTCTGATATTTGGGATAAAATGCAGCAATGTATATGTAGATACGTACGTACGTGCGTGCGTGTGTGATACCTGGTTGATGGGGTTCTGGGAGATCTACTCCCCAAGCCCGGCCCGAGGCCAGGCTTGACTTGCGAGAGTTTGGTCCACTAGGCTGTTGCTTGGAGCGGCCCACAGCCCGGTTGGTCTGGCACTCCTTGGAGGAATAAATCTAGTTTCCTCTTGAAGATGTCCACGGTTGTTCCGGCAATATTTCTTATGCTCGCTGGGAGGGTGTTGGACAACCATGGACCTCTGATGTTTATACAGTGTTCTCTGATTGTGCCTATGGCACCCCTGCTCTTCACTGGTTCTATTCTGCATTTTCTACCATATCGTTCACTCCAGTACGTTGTTATTTTACTGTGTAGATTTGGTACTTGGCCCTCCAGTATCTTCCAGGTGTATATTATTGGATATCTCTCTTGTCTTCTTTCTAGTGAGTACATTTGGAGAACGTTGCGACGATCCCAGTACAGTAATTTAGGTGCTATATCGCGTCTATGCGTGCCGTATATGTTCTCTGTATTCCCTCTATTTCAGCAATCTCTTCTGCTCTGAAGGGGGAAGTGAGTACTGAGCAGTACTCAAGACGGGACAGCACGAGTGACTTGAAGAGTACAACCATTGTGATGGGATCCCTGGATTTGAAAGTTCTCGTAATCCATCCTATCATTTTTCTGGCTGTCGCAATATTTGCTTGGTTATGCTCCCTAAACGTTAGGTCATCAGACATCATTATTCCCAAATCCTTTACATGCTGTTTTCCTACTATGGGCACATTTGATTGTGTTTTGTACCCTGTATTATGTTTAAGGTCCTCATTTTTACCATACCTGAGTACCTGGAATTTATCACTTAAACATCATGTTATTTTCTGATGCCCAGTCGAAAACTTTATTAATATCAGCTTGAAGTTTTTCAATGTCTTCAGCCGAGGTAATTTTCATACTGATTTTTGTGTCATCTGCAAAGGATGATACGAAGCTGTGACTTGTATTTTTGTCTATATCTGATATGAGAATAAGGAAAAGCAGCGGTGCAAGAACTATACCCTGAGGTACAGAGCTTTTAACTGCACTTGGACTAGATTTTGTATGGTTGACCGTTACTCGCCGAGTCCTGTTTGACAGAAAACTGAGTATCAAGCGTCTTACTTTACCGGTTATTCCCATTGACTTCCTTTTATGTGCTATAACGCCATGGTCACATTTATCGAAAGCCTTTGCGAAGTCTGTGTATATCACATCAGCATTCTGTTTTTCTTCTAATGCCTCAGTGACTGTCATAGTGCTCAAGTAGCTGTGAGAGGCACGATCTTCCCGCTCGAAATCCATGTTGGCCTGGGTTGTGAAGGTCATTGGTCTCCATGAAATTGGTGACCTGACTCTCTCAAATACTTTTATTATGTGCGATGTTAGTGCAACTGGTCTATAATTCTTTGCCAATGCTTTGCTCCCTCCCTTGTGTAGAGGAGCTATGTCTACTACAAAATACGTGTGTATTTTTTTTGCACTCACAACTTTTTCCTAAAAAAGTACGAAACAAATCTTCAGACATATTAGAACTTGCAATAAATGACATTATGCAGTCCCAATTGTTCCAGATTATCCAAAGACCATCGCAGTTTACTTATTGCACCCAAGAAATATTTTACACAATCATCCACACACCAAACAGATATTTACTTTACACATCAGATACACATACACAAGGAACCAATACAACATAACATGATATAAGAATAAATGAAACTACAGAAGGCATATTGGCCCACATTTATACCCAACACAACTCACTCATATATATATATACATCTAATCTACAACTGAAACAATTCAGTGATTCAACACCTATTATATTGCTCAGTAATTTGCTCCTTAAACCTACAATATTCACAGCCATCTTTTCAGAACCTAAACTCGTCCAGGTTGTATCAATCGCTTCATGTTTTATTTTGTGTTTGCTATTTGCCCCTAAACTCCCCACCTTCCTCTTTAAGCAAACAAATGCCCAACGTTCAAATCTCAATCAGCCAAATCAAGCATATATAGATCCTTCCAACATTTTAAGCCCAATAGTATTGGTAAGGGATTCACATGCATAAGCCAGAATGTAATATGAACAAAAACCATACCACAGGAATTACACACTGTTTAGACTGCCCTTGGCCATAGTTATCATAAGGAATTTGGTTAGGTTCACATGCACACTGTTACGTAAATAGCTGCATAGAAAGTTTCCACGTCACTGTGGAAACAATAAATCGTTGTAGCTTTCTGCTATTTTAGTATCATACACTACTGGGAATACACTAAGAAAAAGTTGTGGAAGCTACATCTTTTCACAACTTTTAGGCCAGATACTACAAAGAATTTAATAAGATGGCTAGTAGGTGGGGAATAGAGAGAGAAAACCTTACTTCCCCATAGTCACTGGTAGACAAGTACCGTACTTCATATGCTGGACCACCTTGACAAGCTCAAATGACACCTTCTGTATTGATTTTGATAGTTATTCAACTCTCCAAGCCTGGCCAGTAGCAAGACTTATCTGGTGGCGACTTGATTAGTATGGCTGTTGCAGGTAATGGCCCACATGCCTACATATCCATTACAACCCGTTAAATTCTGGTAAAGGTCTCCAATAAAATTAAATTCTATTATTTTTATACTCGTGACATTTGTCTTCATCCTGGACCACAGCACTACCCAACACAAACCCACTATCAAAACACTCCTGTATGTACCAGTGTATATCATAATTACTATCATGTGTGTTAAATTAACAATTTTAATCTTAATTAAGTCCTCCATTGTGGCATGCATGGCAAAAAATAGTTTACAAAACTAATGTAAAAAAAAAAAAATTATATTTGGCAAGACGCATTTAGCAAAATTACACGGATAGCAACTGGAGACATTAGTCGGCTAAGCAGCTCGAAAACTCGTAGCACTTCATAAGATCACCGAGTAAAAACCCCAAATCTTGTCAACCTCAAAATTAAACAAATACATGCTGCACATAATAAAAAAAAAAATATGATAAACAGTAAGACAAAAGGCCCCAAATCCCACATGCAGGAAAATGATAAAACTCCAAGTGAGTAGTTCACTAGTTTACATGCAACCCTTGGTCCTGGGTTAGATTCCAAGGTAGGATGAAATGGCCAGACTTCCTTACACCAAGTCTGATTATCTAGCTCAAAAATTGGCACATGGGAAACAGTTGAGTGTTGTGGGTTGCATCCTGGGGTAAGATGATCAGCACTGCATAAGCCAAGTCTCAAGTATAAACCACAAACTTGGTACTCACCATGCTCAGCAGCATTATCCTCATCACTGGAATCCTGGGCATCTTTGGTCTTGTCCTCATCTTTACGCAAGCGTTCTCTTCTTCCAGGTTTGTCACTGTCAAGAAGAAGGAATTGGTTAAAGGTGATCCATGATGCATCATTAACTTGGGAGGAATGGCACAAGTCTCATTTACATGAAAAGTACGCAATACTTACCGAATGACATAATAGCATTAAGGGATGGTAAATTTGATGTACAGTACGATAGCCTCCTACTGAAACTAAATCTGATCTACTGAAAGGTCAGATGCAACAGAGGGATGCTGTTCCAGTGGCAAAACTGTTGTTGTCAGTTGCAAGAGAAAATAAGAGACTTGCATAAATTTAACTAAGTACTTCACACACACTTTCCAAGTGACCTTGATATTAAAATGTGTGCAAAAGAAAATTATATTGTTTGCACCCTTAGAAATGGTAGTGCACAATTAAATCACAAGAATGTGATATAAGCTCATCACGGCCCCGTCGGTAGTGCACATGCCTCAGATCAAGGGTGAAGGTTTGAATCCACAGTGCAGCTTCAACATTTTAACATTAATAATAATGTTTAATATACATGACCAATAAACAACTTTGGATGCAACACAACAATAATTACTGTGGAAAGAGTCTGGAATGGATCTGCCCATTTGAGCTAGCGAACACAGTACTATATTTGCATTTTACTAAAATGTTGCAATCTATATTACAACTTTGCCTCAGAATTTTACATTATCCATAAATATGAAATCACAATAACATCCTCGAATCACCCAGGATGCCAGTTCAATTCCACTGTCCTGTTCCAAAGCTTTTCTTTTATATTATTCAAACTGAAGTGCAAACTTATGCATAATTTTAATTAAAAAGCAGAGGAACAGTATAAACCAATTGGAGTTGGATGGCTACTGGAGAATTGCAGTTTCTTCTATCCACTACATTTATACGGCAGCATTACCCTTGCAATGAAATGTATATTTCATTTTTCATCTCGAGCTCTTTCCTACAATATCTGTTACTACATTTGTAAATCATTGTGCCAGTCACACATGCCAGCACAGCAAAAGTCAATTCAAGAGAAATGATATACCAAAAATGTGAACTAAACACATTTACTTTCTCTACTTGTAGCTCATTTACTTTTAGGTCAATAAAACTGAAGTCCATTAACTGATAACCTAATGGTAACACACACAAGTGATGACAAGGAAAGGGGCCTGGTAGCTGAATGGACAGCACTCGGGATTCGTAATCCCAGGGACCAGAGATTGATCCCCGGCAATGGCGGAAACAAATGGGCAGCGTTTCTTTCACCCTGATGCACCTGTTCATCTAGAAGTAAATAGGTACCTGGAAGTCAGACAGCTATTACGGGCTGCTTCCTGGGGGTGTGCGTGAGAGACAAAGATGACGACGAAGATGAAAAGACGAAGACGAAAAGACAAAGAAGACAATGAAGACGACAATGCAGAAGACTAAGAAAATAAAAGTGGATAGATTGACAGTTGAGAGGCGGGCCGAAAGAGCCAGAGCTCAACCCGCACAATCACAACTAGGTGAATAGACACTCCGTGTCTAAAGTGAGTTAGTTTGGGTTCCAATCCTTGCCAGGAAGGATTGACTGGGTGCCAATCCTTTAACCATTAGCTCTTGTTCACCAAACAGTAATTGAGTATATAGTTAATTGATTGCTGGGTCATGTTCCAGGGAAAACTAGCAGGGCAAGGGTTTTCATGAGCAATGATAATGGAAAACTCTTGGCCTGCTAACAGGAATCAGAAGTCGTTGTCATCATCATAGTATGGGTAACCCAGTGATGAAAAATACAAAATTATTCCTATTGTAAGGGACAGGAAGCCTGTACCTTAGATTATCAAGGTCCTCCTAGGATAACTACAGACCTTCCCCAATATGCAACCCCACAACACCTGTCTAACTAAGTACCTATTTACTGCTAGGTGACCAGAAGCATCAGGTGAGGAAATGTGCCCACTCATTTCTGTCCACCCTGGGAATCAAACCAGGGATCCTCAATTTGTGATTGAAGGATGTAGACTTCTGTACTACAAAACCCATATATCCACAGGTAGACCATATTTGCTGGTACAGAATAAAAAAAACACCTATTTTACGGAGATATTTTGTGGAAAAAAAACTTATTATGTTTCATCATGCATTTATCAAGTGTTTTTGTAGGGAAAAATACATTCTGTGCATGTAAATACAATATATACCGTATTCAGCTAGAAGTTAACCTAAAACGAGTCCTATCTAATGGAAAATATTGTAATCTTCAGGGCCTTTCATTGAGACTTTTGGATTGAATTTCATCACTATGAAAATTCCTGCAGAAAGTTCCAGGTCACCCGGGATGTAGTAGATATGCAGGCAACTGCAAACAAGGCTATTGTTTGGTTAGGCTGTTGGAGTAGAATTCTCAAAACTGACAAATAAATTTGTTATGTTAAGCATTTGATGCTCCATTCCTTCCACTTCTCTTCGCATACTAGTCCCATTTGTCATGTGCCTCGGCATTCTACTTAGCTTTACCTAAAAGAACATTGCACAAGACTGTAGAGATATTTTAATTCCATGCAATAAGTAATCATATGAAGGCACCAAGTCTCAAATACTGCTGAACACCTTCAAGTGTTGCAGGATATTCAAATCCTAAATATCACTTGGCATGTCATTCCAACATTACCTCAAGATTTATGGAATTATTGAGTTTAATGCTACCAATATCCTATTTATAGTGGGATTACCCCCCCTTTATGATATATGGAAGTGTTGGCATTTTATAAGCTTTTGATTAAATGTTGGTCTAAACTCTAATATATTTACTTAAAACAGACTAGTTACCAGTGTGTTTTTGTCAAAGCTTCAGACAATCCACAATGGGAGCTTCACTCACCACAAAGATATCAATGTTACCTATTTTGTGTGCCTTAATTGACTAAACATCTTCATACTTTATACACAGCTAGTCCCACTTATCTTTAATGCTTTGACTCTACAGTACTAATACTTGCCATTCATGATGTGTATGACAGTATAGTAGTAGTAGCTGCCAACTGTAAAGTACTGTAAAGTGATAATACTGTAGTTGTAAAAGTAGCACATATTTCAAAAACTTTTCCAAGATTTTCAAGAATAATAATGAAATCACATTGTGCTGGAAAGCAGGCTTAATATTGCTTTGCTTTATTGCTTAAACAAGGGTAGTGTCAGGACAGGGAGACAGGGTACTGTTACAAGATGCCAAAACCTATGATGCTAAATGGCCACATTGAGTAACAGAGACTTTTATCTGCCATAACATACCCTTACATTACCACAAGTAATGGTCATTTCACCACAAGTGATTTGCATGCATTCTAAAAATAATAAAAAGGTTCAATAATCAACCTAAAACCTTCACTATTTTTGCAAAGATCTAAACTATTGTTTTACCATATAAGTAGTGTTGAGTTAGCCTATAATACTAGCATAGTTGAATCTCAAGACACACACAATTCAGGGGTTGTGCTAGTTTCAAGTCTATAATACTGTATCAACACATTTTACCCAAAGAAATTTACAAATCCCGTTTGTACCAATTTTAAATCCACAAATCTCAAATAACTGAATTGGCTAATCAATCGGGGAATGTTATCAAGAAACTGACCTTGACTTGACTAATGGAAACCAATTAGCCAATCAAATGGGGTTAGCATCGAGTGATTGCTTACAAACGCCTTACATTAGTAAGTAATTATCAAAAGAAGGCACCAAACCGGGAAGGCTATTCAGCACCACCAAATGTGCGGGATAATCAGAGGGCGCTAAATATCACCAAGGATGCCAATACGAGAACAGAAACGCATAAGGTGAACGATATCAAAAGTATCCAAGTCGCCAAGAATTCTATCGAGGGACAAGCGACCGCGGGGGGCGGTCGGGAAAACAAGACACACGCACGTCCCAGAAGTCAGGACATTCAACAAGGATATACACGACCGTAAGAAGGACAATGCAATTTGGACAATAAGGAGCAGGGCGGTGCTCCATTAAGTGACCATGAGTTAAGCAAGTACGACCAATACGCAACCTCGCCAGAGCCTTTTCCCCATCGCCAGTTACGGTGGTAGGAGGACGGCCACGAGGACACAAATCTCTTAAGAGTACGCAGTTTGTTACCAAGTAACAGAAGACCAAGCCTGCCATGGGTAAGGACGGAGGAATGGATAACCGGCTAAAAGTCGGAATAAGGAATACTTTTACGAGAGATGGGACAAGAGCGGACAGCTTCCCTGGCGGCAGCATCCGCAAGTTTTAAAGAAATACCAATATGGCTGAGAACCCAGCAAAACTCAACTGACTAAAATTTACTGTGAATAAGAAACAGCCAATGCCGAGTCTCGACAAACACTGGATGAACAGGATTAAAGGACCCGAGAGCCATGAGGGCACTTCGAGAGCCGGTCGGCTGAGCGGACAGCACGCTGGACTTGTGATCCTGTGGTCCTGGGTTCGATCCCAGGCACCGGCGAGAAACAATGGGCAGAGTTTCTTTCATCCTATGCCCCTGTTACCAAGCAGCAAAAATAGGTACCTGGGTGTTAGTCAGCTGTCACGGGCTGCTTCCTGGGGGTGGAGGCCTGGTCGAGGACCGGGCCGCAGGCACTAAAGGCCCGAAATCATCAAGATAACCTCAAGAGAGTCAACAACAACTACAAAGGAAGATTGACAACGAGAAAGCAGGAGACGAAGAGCATAGAGAATAGCATAAAGATCCGCTGTGAAGATGCTAGTTATTACTGACCTACACATTTAAATGTGGTTATCATCACTGTATATAAGTCACCAGAGGCAAATCCTCAGCAGTTTAAAGACCAACTACTAAAAACAGAATACTGCTAAGAAAACCTCACAAACCCAGGCTCAAACATTATCTTCCTTGGAGACTTCAACCTGTAGCACATAAAATCGAAGAATGTAGCAAATACAGTTATATCCAAGAGAATCCCAGGAAGTAGCCTAAATGAACAAATTACCTATTATGGATGTGTGACAGATTTGCCTTAAACCAGCAAT